GGATGTGCATGCTTTTCATTCATGGCACTGTTTTGTAATGTGAACTACACATAAAACATTATTTTGTTTGCCTGTTACCATACCAATGAATTATTAACATTTCAACCAAGAGCTCGAAGGTGAACCTTTCTTCTGTAGTTTCTGATAACATATATGCAGACTAAAACTGCGTTCAACGTCACAAGAATTGGAGCATATTTCAATTTTATAATGTCTGCTGGGGATAAGTCCAACTTTTTGTGGGGCCAATCACCACTAAATCTTTCGTAGTTCTTCGAACTACGTTTTTCGCCTGTACTGTGTCCCTCTTGGTTTAACTGCATCTGCAACTTCACCTCGACCACGATTCAGTTGTTTCACAGTACTTTTTACAATTTCAAAGCTTTCACAAAGAGAAAGGTGCATATTTTGGACACTTTTGAAGGTTTTTGTGATGCATAAAATGTATGCAGAATGTAACTTCAGTAATTCTGAACACTTGTGTCACAGGCAACTGTTTTCGCGGTATTAACTGAGACTGCATTTTCCGAGTCCAACGCAAGAACATTCTTAATAGAGTTCCTGTGTTCCGACATAATATTCAGTTGCTAGCAGTCACGTCCCCCATCTGTTTACTTCATTCTATTTGCGTTGTGCATTAAAATGTATAAAAATTAAAGTCGAAATTAGTTAATGCTGACTGCACCTAACAACAATTTGAGGGGCTACTTTTGAGTGAAGGAAGGACGCACAGGTGAAAAAAATTCTGATCACAAGCCGTGCACCGTTGTGGATGGCACTTGGGCCAGTCTACTGCTCCAATTTAATTGTATTCTACAAAATACTACAGATCAGTTTTGAATATTTTATTCGTCATCTTAGAGACTCAAAAAAAATTGATAAAAAATTATTCCATTTATTATAACTTCTAATAATATGTTTTAAAACAAATTCATTAGATATTTTAAAGTTTCAGTAAAAGAAAAAAATTACATGACCTTATTTCAAAATCGATCTTTAAAGAGCAGATTAAGGAAAAATCTCTCTTTAATACTTTAGTTGTAGGAAAACTTTTGAACTCTTTCAATTTTTGAAAAATTGAAGTTTCCAACATGAGACCTGCACCATTATCTTGAACGTCCTCCACGCTATCCAAGAACATTTAATCAAAATCGAGCCATTTTTTGGAAATTTTGAAAATGTCCCAGAGGCCTCACGTAAAGTATCCTTAAAATAAAAATACCGGTTTGAAATTCAAGGGGGCACGACATCAGCCAGATCGATTGGAGAATATCATTTTTGGCGAAAATCGTCTGAACGGTTTAAACGCTAGCATTGTTCACAGACGGACAGACGTTTTGCCTTCATTCGATTTTTCGGTATGAAGGACCCACAAAATATGGATACTGGCCACATCACTTGTTTGAAGATTTTTTTCCAAATTTAGCAACTGGACTTATCCAATTTTTCATTACTTGGGCCCATCAATAAGTTTTTTTCTGTTGGGAATTCACTGTTTTCTCGCACATAATTTTTTCTCCACTCCATGGCGGAAAAGTAAAACCCCCACTCCGTGGCGGTAAAGTATTTCAACGAATATTTTAAAAAATGTAAAAAATATCAACGTCACATAATTCTAATCGAATATCCTCCCCTATCCTAACGTAACGCTGCCTGTTTAGCAGTTTAGTTTACGTAATTTATGAACCATAATCCCCAAGTAAAGGACTGGATTGCTATGCAAATGGAATATCCTGCAGAAATGCACACCAGATTTAGTAGTAGAGAAGATACAGCCCGTTGATGTGTTCCATTCGTGGAGCTTGTAGAGCACGAGTTGAAGTTACATCTGCATCACTCTGAGGTGGCTGGACGCCCAAAAGACGGCAAAATCATGCAGAAACTATGCTTTTACAGTTCTCGCACGTTTGACGCTATACCATTTATGGCGATGGCAAACAGAGTGACTCGCAGAACTGATCCTTTAAGGGATACCATTTTCTAGAATGTGACTGCTACCAACGAGAATAAAGAAGGATCTGCTGAAAAGGAAGTTTTGGGAGGAACAGAGGCAACTCTCCCCTTCCTAACGTAACCCAGCCTCGGTGAAGGAAGAGAGACGTGGCAGCGGCCATCCGATGGATCGGCGACACTCGAAGTGCATAGCGGTGGGGAGGGAGGGCGGGAAGCTGCTAACAGGACCCCGGAGGGTCGGACTGGACTAGCGGGATGGAGGGGTGTCCGCAGGGTCAGTTTGGGCCGAACTAAACCAACTATGGGTGATAGGTCCGCAGGATCAGTTTGGGTCGATCTCAAGCGACGGAGGAGCGGGAGGTCCGTACACATGTGCGACGAGCGCTGAGTTAACATTCGTTGCCCGCCAAACGGAAGTCAAGCTGTTATATTGGCCTTTACGGCTGAGTCGCTCTTTTCGCTGCGGAGCTACGCCATTGTGCTTACGTGGGCGCCAGCTGCCTGCGGTCACGCGACAATAACTTTCAGGTACACGAACAGGCCAAGTCGCGTTCAGAAGTTGGATGCATATCCTCACTCGTTTGGCAACTCGAGGAGGATTTTGACATCAAGGTGCCGTCGCGCTATTGTGGCATAATTTACTTAATATTGTGTTCTTACGTAATTGTGTTGCAACATTATTGCAGATGCCGGATAAATGCCGTGTTCCAGGCTGCAAAAACAATTATGCTAGTGATGGAGGACATTAAGAATTCCTAAAGATATGAAAGAAAGACAGATGTGGGTAAGAAGTATTCATCGAGCAAATTAAGAACCTTCAAAATATTCAGTCTGTATAAAAAGTTTAGTGAAAATGTTATATCTAGGTCAGAATAATACAAGGATGTGACATTGTGGAAAGAGCATCCACGAAGTCGGTAGGAATAACTCCTGAGGCAGTACCTCCCGTTTTTTTCAAATTTACCGATCTATCGCAGCCAAAGTTCACCCCTTTAAGCACTGATCCAAAAGAACGAAGGAGAAGTGCTGCCAATTATCAAGATGAAGCGAAGCAGTGGCTCGATAATGATACTATAAAAAGTTCATTTTACTATAGTATATCTTCGACGGAACAAGTATTTTCTCAGTGGATGGTACACTGCAGTTCTCACTCTGTTGATTTTATAGGTGTAGGTTTGAACAAATACCATGCATTACCAATAGTGTAACAATAAATAATGAACTAGTGAATTCTCATCTCGATTACAAGGGGGGCAATTAATTGAGTATGCTGAAAACAATGAGTGTTCAAGCAAAAACTGTTCAGGCATTTTTTAATATCGTCTGCTTTAGGGGTTTTAAAGAAGTTGTGAGTCTGCATCCTGTGAAAAGTCCCAGTGCTCTGGAAGATAGTCAAAATTCTAGTTGAGTCATCAGGGTTTAAGGTAATAGTTGTTATTTCTGATAATAATAAAATCAATAGGTCTCTGTTTTACATGTTACAATCAGATAGAAATTATGTAGTAAATATATTCTGACATTTCATAGTGTGCATGTGTTCAGATGTGTCAGAAATAATCGGCTGAACATAGAATTCAGAAAAAACTTTTTCTTCCCGTCATGGGTTCAATACAAGTGTATTGAAAAAGCTAGTGGGGTGTACACGTTTCAACAGGGTCATTTGTTAAAAACTGCATACTATCTACACTAAATATCTGTGTTTTCTTCAAATATTGAAAAGCAGGGAGTCTCTTTAGTGTGGAATGTGTTCAATGATTGTACATATAGGGCCCTGAAAGAAGTGCATGAAACTCTAACTGGCATTGTTCAGAGCATTAGAACTGGAGTATTTATTATAATAATGTCAGTGGAGGACAATAATGAATATTAAAACAAAGTATCACGGAAACAACAAGAAAAATGATTTTTCAAAACCTTCCTTTTCTGTTATAGATTTTAGACTAGAATTTCTAGAAAAAATCTTTGTTGGTTGGAGAAATGGAACACTATCGGAAGAACACCATTGGATGAGGTGGACTTACTCCTGACACTTTTGCTTCCATCCATCAATGCACTTTGGTAATGTGCTTCATTAAATACATTCTGAATAATTTCTTCCTTACATATGTTCTTCCTGGTAAACTGCAGGCTGGCGAATTCAGAAAGAAAGTTCAACATGTACAGGCATGTATGTGGAGGCAATTATGAAGTATATGTTACCAATATTTTGGAATGTGAGAAAAAGCTGCGAGTGAGAAGCTAACGTAGGTTAAATAAAATCTGGGAAGTTTGGTGTTGTACCTCTCAAGAACTGTGATACTAAATTGTGACATTACACCTGTACAATGAGCTCTTGACATAAGTGAGTTTTTAGAAGTGTTGCAGGAACCAAATTCAAATGTAGGAAGTGACGAATCGTCACTAATTTACATTGAAGGATATGGTGCATTTAATGTTGCGTCTAAGACGAGTTGCCAGTGGTGCATTTCATTTCAGAAGTGTGATGAAAATACCTCTAGTTCATTTGTAGAAGAATTAAATCGTGGGGGGTTTATCCTCCCGTCTGATTTCTGCATTTCAATAGGAAGAAATTTATTTGAAATAATGGCAGCCATGATATCAGAGAGATATGAGATTAGATTTCATATTTCTGAAGACAAAGATACTAACAAAGAAACTATTATCAAAAACCATTTAGAAAATAGACCATTAAATATAGTATATGATGTTTGTGCATGCGGTTAAATATGAGAAAATTTGTGATAAACTAATTTCAATACCTGTAAATATATTGTTAAATAATTACGCTAAAGAAAAAAATTACACTCATCTTGCCATCAGTACAAGTGCAAGAAAATTAAAAAAAGCCTGAATAATTGATATTTTATTGAAGTAAATGACAACAGAAAATAAAATTAAAATAAACATATAAAGTATATATTTTTTTATACTCCCATCCCAAGATTAATTTTCTCTATTCCAAAAGTATAACTGAAAATAGTTGTGGTAAATGATATTCGATTATGTCATTGCATCCAGTATATACAGATGTTAGTTTTTTTGCATGTAAGATGTGTGAAGACGTGAAATATAATTAAATAAACAGTTCAATGTTTCAAAGTTATCTAATAACTTTATTGTATTATTAAAATATTTTTTTGTTCAATTTGGGAGTAATTCCGGTCTGCCACAAGAGTGGTCCGTGGTTCGGGACACACTGTAGGAGACGCAATTGTAGAAGCCACATGAGACCTTCCCCGGAGGAAAGAGTGGGGTGGTCAAATTAAATGGTCAGCGTTGTGGGGGGGGGGGGTACCCCGTTCACCTTCGGCTGAATCCTGTGCACGTCCGTAACTTCCTCAGTCAGGAAAATTTTCAAGATTTCAGATTATCAATAGAAATTACAATATGGAATAAAGCCCCACACACGCGCGCGAGCGAACTACCCCTACACGCGCGCGCGCGCCCACGCGCACTCACAAAAGATAAAACAGACGAGAGGAAAGAAATATTAGGAAAAGACATGTTAAATTTAACTTTTAATATTTTTACGAAGTTCACTGGACTTAAGAGTTTATTTTGAAGCCTGGTCTTCATCTATATTGATAGCCATTTTGCACTTCAACAACTTTGTCAATTGCCTAATTCTTCTTCTTCTGTAATCCTGTTTTTCCATAGACGGAAGTTACCCACAGGTGACCCATGTATTCCACAGTATTTTTCCACTTTTCTCTTGAACTATGCGTTTCTCACGCCATGCTCCATTCCTTCGTACGATATGTCCCGAAAATCTCAGAATTGTTTGGAGATGTCCGCCTATCTCCAGTTTGTTCAATCTACGACACCCATCGGTCAATGGTGGGCCCTCATTCCAAAAGCATTAATAATTTTTACATTTGCCGACTTAAAAGTCCAGGTTTCTGTTCCATATAACAACACAGAGAAGGCTAATGTCTTTAGCATCCTTAGTTTACTCTTTCGGCAAAAGTGGCAATCTTTCCAATTGAGAGTAAGTCTACTCACTGCCTCTCTTCCTAATGAAAGTCGTCTTATTTCTTTGAATGATCCTTCATCTGCTTGAATTGGGTAGTCAAGATAAATTAAGTCTGCCACTTTTTCATAGTCTTGTCTTGTATTCACTATCACCTTAGTTTTGGTCTTATTAATAGTCAAACCATATTTCTTGGCCGTCTTTTCTAATACTTGTATTAATTGGATCATTTCTTCCGAATCAGCACATAGTGTGGTATCATCAGCAACTCGTAAGTTGTTGATCCGATCACCTCAATTGACTGGCATTTAAAATCTGTTCCCTTGTTCCTCTGCCTTCGCCACACCCAGCCGGTTCTGGTGGTATTTGGTTTTCAAAGTAGTATATTAGCCATGCATGGATAATATTCAATAAGACTTTCTATGCATGTGAGATGCGTAACATAGTCAGATAGCTGTACTTCTCTGTTTTGCCTTTCTTGTGTAGTGGAATAAAGACTGAATCAGCCCAATCTTTTGGCCATATGCATGTAGACTACAGTTGATTACATAGCTCTCATAGATTTTTACTCCTTTTTCTCCAGCAAATTTTAACGACTCTGCAGTGACTCCATTAGGTCCTGGTGCATTGTTGTTCCTTAATTTCGTAATGGCTTCAAATTCTTCGATTAGAGTATATGGTTCCTGTTCCCTAGGTATAACTCTGTTAATTGGGATCTCTTCAGGGCCTGCGTACAGTGTTTCATAGTACTTCCTCCAGCATTCCATGGTATCAGTTAGGTTTGACTGTACCATTCCATTCTCATCTTCAATAGCTGATGTCTTTAGCTTAATTGTTCCTGTTAATTTCCGAATTTCTTGGAATGATTCTAGGGTCCGATTCTTGTCAGCATATGTCTCTATCCTTTCACATTAATAATTTGATTCTTTACTCTAATTATTTCTCGTCTTATCTGTGCTGATATCTGACTATATAATGGTGTACACTGAAACCCTTTTATTTTTGGTTCTCTCCATTCTTCTATCAATTCTATAGTTTCTGAGGAAAACTAGCAACCTTTCCTTGATTATTCAACAAAGAGTTCTTCTAAACAAAATGTCATTAGTTTTTTGAAATGTCTTTCGCAGATTATCCCAATTACTAATTTAATCTTAGTCTAGCTTCTGCTGCAGGGGGTGTTCCAAATACTTCAAAATTCGTTTACACTATTGACTGGTATATTGGGTACTACACGACCCTAAGCAAAACATTATACTAACCTTTCCTTTGACACTCCGTGACACATTAAAAACTATTTTTCATTTTTACGGTAAAAATAAATAAAATAATGTTCTAAGAAGGACAAAAACTTTCAAATTATTTGAATTAATAGGGATAAAAATATGAATGAAAGTTTTAATTCTAAAAAAAGAATTACTCACAAGTTTTTGGCAGCACCAAACCCTCCAGGAAAAACAATGGCATCAGCACATGATTCATTAAGCAAATTTAAAGGCTTGACATTGCCCCGAGCAATTCTAGCAGATTCAGTTAACACATTTCTACATTCCTTTTCAACAGGAGCGCCCTGAAAAACAAAGGCACCATCACAAAGTATTATCAAACAACAAATGAAGAAAAACCAACTCTTATCGATCTTCTCTACATTTACAAAAGCGAAGATACAACCGTACTAACTTTCTCACATTATTTGTAACAGCTATGCAATTTTATAAAACGACATGAAGTTCCTGTAAAAGTGTTTCCAGACAATTTCTTTTTCTTTGCGATATTACGATAACACTTCAACACCAACCCAACTTCAATTCTCTGCTGAAGGAAAAAAATATATCGAGTTTCTTACAAGAGCACTCTGTACGCTCTGATACCGAAAAAGTTGTTCACAGCCATTTCCTCCCGTTAAAAACATTGGCATCTAAACATTAACAGAATTTTCACCAAAATTGGTTTCTCGTTTGCGCAGAATTTAAAACATATTTTAATTTTCGGACAGGCCGTAGGGATAGAGCGACAGCCAGAGAGACGGACAGCGCGATGGACCGACCGATGGAAAGTCCGAAGGTGCGAGCGAGCGAGCGAGCGAGCGAGCGAGCGACCGACCGACCGACCGACCCGTTGAAGGACTAATCGACTTACGGTCTGACCACATCTAAACAATCAACAGAATTTTCACCAAAATTGGTATTCTTCAATCTATCTTGCTGATGTAGCAGCTCTCAGAATTTGAAACTGATATTTTAATTTTTTGATACGCCGAAGAGCTGGTGGACAGACAGAACAACCGACCGTCAGGCAATACGACCAACCCACCGACCGACCGGCACAACAACCGACCGACCGGCACAACGACCGACCGACCGGCACAACGACCGACCGACCGGCAGAACGGCCAAAATGATTTATATTACAACTTCAAATAATTGGACCGTTAAAAAACGCAGGCGAAACTGAAAATGCAACATGTATTTCAATATAAGTATCGTTTGTTAATTCACTTATAACGAACGTAAACAGATAAAAGAGAAACCAATATTCCGACTTCGCATAGTTACAAAATTATTTTAAGACATTTCTAGTAAAACATGGTATACTTTCATTCGAATGGATCATGCGTGCAGAAGATCTTTAATTGCCTTCAGAATTCCACCACGAACCCATATCAATATTCATAATTTCTCCATGTCACCTCAAAACGACCCGGTGCAGGCTCCTCAGTCCAATTGCGGCATGGTTACGAGGCATTAGGCGAATGGAACATGCGTTTGATTGCACTGGTGCGGCCTAGCGGTCAAATGGAAAACACTGTTCCCTTCCCATGACCCAAATGTTGCTTGGGTTACGGCGAAATTCGTGACAAGGAAGTTCATGCTAACGAGGGCTTTCTAGTGTATGATGTTCTAACGTGAATGGTGTTACTACCTCAGAATTTTTACAATATGTTGGTTTAAATGTTATATTACAAATTAGGGCACAAACATTCAAATTATCAAACTCCACAACACACACTCATAATCCATGGTTTTGCTACAATTATGATGAACATGTATTCTATCCTAACACTGAGATTACATACCAATAGTCTATGCAAATCTTAATGTGGTACTGTCCGGGTCCCAGTTTTCCGACCGCCGGAGAGGGGTCCTAGTCTCCGCGCGGGGCGAGCGGCAGGGTAGGAGGGGATGGCTTTCGCTGCACCCACAATGTCACGTGACATAGATTTTATCTATTATAACCTATTTTGTACCTAAATAATTTTTTCTCTAGTTGCCTTTGGGATTTAGTTGAATCTCTTTTCTTTCTTTGTTGGTGGTTGGGC